ATGTGCACCAGACATCCTACTTCCGTCGCTGGTCCCGTCTGTCTGTGGCAGCATACCAGAGGCCCACCTTATTTTAGCAGATGAGCAGAACGTTAATATATATACTAGTAAAACATTCACTCATTCTGATTATTGACCTAGGCCTCTAGGCCAGCAAATGAGGATGCTCAATATAATTTAACTTTGGCCCTTAAACCGAATTAAATTAATCATATACCATTTGAAAGGTTGTCCTTTGCAAAGTAACAGCATACCACTTTTACTCCAATCTGAAGGGCTTCAGAAAGTTAGGTTACGAGGTATGTGAGGGTTCGTTACGTTGAAGTTATTTTGCATGAATTTTTCATCCGAACACATACTTTCAACAGTTTTAAGGGAAAGGAAATGCAGACTACCAAGAAAAAAATCACAATCAAAGCTATAAATTGAATTGTATTTTGTAAAGTCTTCGAATGTATCCTCGCATCTTCACCTTTTATATCATGAATCATACATTCAAACTCTTGCCCGATTTTCCAATTACTAGCTAAAGTTCACCGATTACTTCTAGAAAGATGTTCTTTCTAAGCTGATGCCTATGCAATAGGCATTTAGGGGAAGATCCATTTGAAAAGATTATAATAATACAACCTAATCTACCTACTCGATCCTTTCACATGGGGATAAAGATATCATTCATGTTCTCAAGTGAAAATGATTAGATAAATAGTAATTTCATAAAAATCGGTTAAGGTTAAAAGTGACCTAACCTCAACCTCAACCCAAGCTCATTCCCCCACACTTTCTCTACGAACTCACTAACGCCTAGGCGTAACCGACGGATTGTCACCGGGTCACCTTTTTTTCTTTCGAAAGAAACTCGATCCATGGCCTATGGACCAATTAGGCCTATGAGGATTAATCCCTGGTCTTCGAGACACATCGCCAAGGACGTGTAACGTTAGGCCAATCGTAGGCCTCTCTCTCAACATAGCACATTTAACAATGAACGTGTAACGTTAGACCAAATGTAAGTCTTTTACGAGTTTCATGAGCCATTTCGGTGCGGTCGGGGAACATTAGGCCTATCCAGAGTTCCTCGAATCGTCTCGATTCGTTCTGAGAAGGTGACTTCAGAAAGCATGACACTGAAGCTGGCCGCCATCTTGTTAATTGAGGGATGTCCGAATCAGACATCGTATCCCACCATATCGATCGGCCACTGCAAAACACCGCTTCAATCTTAGCTCATCCCATGAATTCAGCAAAGTAATGCCTTCTACATTAATAAGAGAGGATCCGGACAATGAAACTAAGGCTGATTAAGTCATACATCTAAGGCACGTTATCCGGCAACACTGGAGGACGGGGCCGGCCCATCGTGCTAAGCTTAAATTAACGGCATCTAATTTCGTTTTTCATGGGGAAATGGTGTACTGAAACCAAAAAAAGAGACTTTTTGTCACCTCCAGGTCAATATCCTGGTTTGGTTGGTCTCTTTCCTACAAAAACTTCCCAGGAGCGGTTACGCAGGGGAGGGGAGAAAAAATATATATACAGTCGAACTCGATTATAACAACCTCGGTAATAACGAAACCTCGGCTATAACGACGAAAGTGCCAGGTCCCGACGTAAAGCCAATAAGGCACGTTACATTTTACCTCGGTTATAGCGAACTCGGTTATAACGAAACCTCGGTTATAACGAAGTTCACTGAAGGTCCCACAGACGAAATCGACAACGTTCATGTCCCTAATCCCTCATTCTTAACTGAAATGTCCGTCATCGGAAAAATTATCTTTGACGAGCCATAACTTTATATTTCGAATTCGACATTCCTTGAGAGTCATGTGTGTGTGGCTGGATCTACGTTAGGAAGGGATAATCCCCAATAACTAAGATCACCTTATCTTCAGTCGCCATTTGCATTTCTCGTTGACAACATGGCCAATGGAAAACGAAAGAGGCCAGTCTTCACGATTGAAAAGAATGTGCGCTTGATTAGTTTAATAGAAAGAGCTCGAAGTGAAGCTAACGTCGCTCGCGAACAGGGGTTCATCTGTTTCGACAATTTGGGAAAATCATGACAGCTTCATCCGTGCTTACGAGAACATGTCACAAAACAAGAAACTTCCTAGGTCCGTCGAGACGACATCGACGAAGCCTCGCTAAAGCATGAAGTAGTTCAAGATCCAAAGAAGTGCGATTAGGGGATCAATCTTGAAACTGAAGCTAGTGCAGTACACTCTTAGAAAAAGGGGAGCGATTTGTCTGAAAAATGAGAGCAAAATAGCTAACTCCAGTTTCACCCCCCTTTCATTCTGGGAAAGGAGCGAATTTACTCCATGACCAAGAAGTTAATTTGCTCTCCTCCTCCGTGAGTAAAAACGCTCCCCTAAGAAAGTGATAGGGATGTCATGCAAATACGAAAATTCTCATAAATACTGTGTGGCACTTTCGATCTCGTGCAGGCGTTGACCTACCTTCGACTGTACTGATTACAGCACACGTCAGAGGATGGAGCATCTCTTATAGGTTCCGTGGAGTATCCGGGGTATTAATACTTATTACCTCATTTAATTGAGGCATGATTGATGAACGTTCACGGACACTCCCTGTATATTCTAGATCTCCTATGCGGATGACATGATGAGTGTTCCAAAAGGGTTCTCAATACGAATATGAGCTTGTTTATGGCCTGGACTCCATGAATTTGTCTTGAATATGTGCATAACAAATGATGAAGTACCTGTGTTTATTGATTCCTATAATGAGAATAGGGGAGACATATGGCAAGGTACTAAACAGTCCTGCGAGAGACGATTCCAGGGAAAGAGGGAAGGGAACTTTTGTGTACTGTGCCGAAAAGCGAGACCCTTCCTTCCATCTAGTGGCCTGGAGAAGAACTTCAAGGTGTTCACTTTAATACAAGCGAAGAGGGAGCATTTGGTGAGTAATAAGAGAGGAAATTCGAAAAGCTCACGGTGTGCTCACTTTTTACTCCCCAAACGCTCGGGATTTTCTAAGAGTGTACGGTGCCGACAGTGAACTCGTTGTCCGTGTGGGTAATTTCTGTCGCTTCCTGAATACTTTGAGCGACATACGTTGCCATCCCGTGTTTCGGGTGGCATTTTGGAGCGTGTAGCCAGGGATCTTGAGGCGCACGGTGGTGGCATCCGCGACGTGTGTCTATTGGAGGACGAGAACGCTGATGTCCTGTTCGCGGAGTATTTTCGCGATGACGTCCGCCTTCGCCCGGGATAGGCCTTCGATGTTGAGCTGGCATATGCGGATTGACGGGTCCTGGGGTAGATTCGTGGGGCCTTGAGGAAGGCCTTTGCAACCAGGCTTAATTTCGTTTTCGCTCCCGTTCCGCAGAGGTCGGCGAGCGACATGCCGTTTCCGGAATGGAGGCATTGGTTCACGCACTTAGATCTTGAGGGTACAAAGCACGCTTAACACCACGAAGAAGGTTGCCTACCATCCACCCGCGTAAACTATAGTGAAAACCGAAAACCTCATATCTCTCCTCCTAAGCCCTGAGCAAAGAAAGAAACGATATTAGAAAGCGGCCAATGTAAGTGAAGGTTCGAGTTGATGAAGGGACTCGAACGTTGCAAATAATGGTACTCCCGATGCCGGACTCAAGCCCGGTCCGACGATGTGCGTTTATTCAACGAGATAGCGACTGTAAAATGAATATAACCAGTACGGTGTCTGGTATTTAACCTTGACGCATCCAGTACCACTTCGGTCGCCTAGCCCTAGGCCTGTATCACCTTCGCCTGAACCGCGAGGACTGCAAAGCTATGGTTCTCTAGGCCATAGGCTAAGTGGTAGGACAAGGGTTGCGTTCACTCATTCGCCTCCACAAGCGTACTGGCACGCATAGTCCCAGATTCATCCCCCTGGCCTATGACCCGGACTGGCATAGGCGTGTCCACCTCGCGCATCAGGCTAAGACTGCATGATTCTAGGCCAAGCAAGTTTCTGGATACGAATTAGTTAAGGAAATGCGAAAAACATTCCAGAAAGCCTTACTCTTACTTCAACTCCTCTCCCTCTGAGGGTCTTCTGTTGTTAAGGCCTCAGCCGCAGACTGTCTTAAAGTCGGGCGTAAACCCATCTCTTCAAGCTCGAAGTCTTTGAGGGCCGGTCAGGTGAAAATTGTTGCATCACATTCCAGGCATCTCGGTGAAAAGCGTAGCGATCGACCCATTTGATGTTCCTCTCACCATCTCGACTCGGATGTATGTGGACACACTGCATCCGAAATTCGAATGGAAGATTCCCCATCGGCAGGAATGTCCATGCACATGTCCATGTTGCACTGCGTCGATCGGCCGTTGCTAGCCAATAACTCATTTTAACCTCATGCCATGAGGTTATCGCAAAATGGTACCATACGTAAGAAAACAGAAGCCCCAGGCACCGATATGAAAGCAGAAGCAGTTGTGAATCCGACATAACTCCAGCACGACATTCGGCAACCGTGGGGGATGGGACTCCAGCTCGCACGATAAGCCTAAATGAACACAGCTCATTTCACTTTTACAGCGAAATAGTGCATCGTCTATTGCGGAAAGGGCAATCATCTCCCTCTATAAGTTCATGGGTTTGGTTTACTCAGGCAATCGCCAGAAATCTCCTGGGAGGTTTACCTAATATCATCCTGTTCTCTCTTAATGGTGGAAATTAGCTGGCCTGATTTTTGTGTTTAGAGGGTAAGAAAAAAGTTCAATTTCGTTCCTCCAGATGCCCTCAGGAGGAAAAGAAGCTGCAACTTCCTAACGGGAAGAGGTTGAAGAGAGAACTCAGCTCATTTTTTCGATTGAAAAAGTGTTGGTGCTATATTACTAGCAGCTTTGACATATCATACGCTCTCTTAGACAGTTACGAAGCAATTGTGCGAAAACAGCTCTTCCTCTTCCACTCGGAAGGAAACAGAGGAGTGCCTCTGCCATGATGTTCTTCGCAACTATCACAGGAGTCGAAATTGCGAGAAATTGCTTTATTCAATGGTGTTGTTCATATACATTCATGAGTGTAGTGCTATAACGGGGTGGTGTAGGGAAGAGGGAAATGACGAGATTTTATTTTTAAAAATCCGTCCATGGACCATGAGCAAAATGTGCGACTCATGAAAAGTAAAACCTGATATTTCTTGAAAGGACATAATAGGTGTGGGAGAAGGTAGCATTTTGGTTACGCGATTACTGCATCAGTATCTGTTTCGGGGCGAGGCTCGAAGTTTGGGAAGCGGAACGCATTCGGGAACGGGATAACACGGCGCCGCGACGCACGTCACCTCCCGCATCACGCACGTGCTCCCTTCCCCACACCGCACGTCCTCGCACGTCGGCGCACCTGCGGAGAGACGAGAAGCGAGAACCTCCACCGAGAGCCCCTCGGGGCGGATGACCCCGCGGCGACCGAGAGCTTACCCTTCGCGTTGCAGGAGAGCTTGGGGAGGCAGGGGTCGTCGTGGCTGCCGCAGTGGGGGAAGGACATCACGCATTCCTGGTCCTTGAGACAGTGTACGTTCTTGCAGCTCAATTCTACGGAAACCATTTGAGAGGGCGTTAAACTAAGTGAGACGGTATTCGTTTTTCAATTCTTCTTAAAGTTTGGATTTACATGCGAGGTCTTGATATCAATGGAAAACTTAGTGAATCGCACAAAAGCGCCAGAAGCCACCGATTGCTCATCTTCCCGTCATATAAAAAAAATATATATATAGTTTAACTATAGTATAGGAAAAATATATATATTTCGTTTCGTAATGCGCAATTGAGAATTGGATTAAACGGATCGATTGGGAAACTTGGACCCTACCAGGTAGCATGCAAAGCTTGCGGCCACAATCTTCGCAGCACAAGAGGCCCGACCCACAGTCCGAATCGCTGGAGCAATTCGTTTCGCACTGATATTCTCCGAGTTCCGGACATCCATTGCCATCTATAGGAAATGGAAAGTCGGAGAAAAAAAACCGAGAATCCTATGGACCTATACAAAAAAAAACGCATGCCTATATTTTCCATTAATTTTTATATGGAAAATAATGTTCGGCGGTTCTTAGACCCCACCGTACCATGGAAAGTCGCGTGTCAGGGTTACCGATGAGAACGAATAATGACAATATGAACATATTTTCGCTGATTAGGCAGCTCAACCCAAGTTCAAAGTTATATAAGTGCCATCATTAATTTAGCGGGTTCAACAAGGAAACGAAACCGCCATCCAGCGGCACGAGAGACAGGACGATCCAACGGACGTACCGGCCGACACGCAGACGCGATTCCCGCACAGGTCGCAGCAGACCAGACCCCGATCGCAATCCAAGTCTTCCGTGCAGCTCTTCATGTCTTCCGTGTGGCACTGGGATCCATCGATCGCGGGGCATTTCCCTGCGGATCAGAGGATGAAGAGACACACGGCTAAGCAGATGGAGGCAGAAGCGGGCGGCGATTCCTCTTAGGTCGTCTTTGCCAGGCGTTGGCGGTGAACAGGTGTGGGGTGCGCGTGTCCGTGTCGGAGTCCAGTAATTTAACGGTTATGGATGCGGAAATAAAATATTACTAAATTGAAACAGCCATTAACCAGGAGGAACATTGTAAGATAAAAGAGTACAGTCTATTGAGATGTATTGGGTTTTTGCATCGTCTGAGGAGTAAGGAATGTTTCTGTTACCCAAATGAGCAACAAATTCCGATGTTCTGGATAGACTCCCAATAGTTTCTGGAAGCGGGACACATTCGGCAACAGGATAGCATGGAGATGCAGCACAGGTCACCTCACGCATCAAGCACGCGCTCCACTCCCCACACGACATGTCCATGCACGTAGGCACATCTGGAAATCGGGAAGAGAAACGAAATCGGGAAGCGAAAGCCCTTCGCCGAGAGCCCAAGGGCGGATGACCCCTTGCGGCGACCGCGCCTACCATCCGGAATGCAGACGATCGTGGGGACGCAGACGTCGGGATCGCCGCATTCGGGGAAGACCAAAACGGCAACCTGCCCATCGAAGCAATCGGCGTAATCGGAGCTCGACTCTGCAAAAATTATTTGAGAAGCCGGCATATTTGACGGTGATGTGACCACGCTCATTATTAGTTGAGCACTCGATGAAGTTGATATGCATGAACAGGACCTCCATAACAGCATGAAATGCAGTGAAGCCTAAAATAGGCACAGTTCGTCGAGGGTGACCGACCGCTTATCCACCCCGAAAAATGTTATTCATTTTTGGAATATTCGATGGGAGAAACGCACGGCTTAGCGAATGGAGTCAGCAGCTGCTGGGCACGCCCAGTAGGTTGTCTTTTCGAATTGCTATCGGGAGCGGGACTTAAACGGTTGGCGGTAACCGAGTATAGGACAGGCTTGTCAGTGTAAGAAAGGATTATACGGAAGACACGGCCGACGTAGGAGCAACGAAATTTAATAATTATAATTGCAATACGTTCGTGGGCAAAAGCATGTCTTTGGAATTGAGAAGTAAAGAAATTTGAGATTTACTGACATCTCTGAATGGGTAGGTAATAAATACTCTCATTGGCACTCAAAAAATCGAACCATTTTCTGGAGTTTTGGGAAGATCGAGTGGTTGCTGAGTCGGGACACATTCGGGTACAGGGTAGCACGGAAATGCGGCACAGGTCACCTCACGCATCAAACACGCGCTCGACTCCTCACACACCACGTTCAGGCACGTAGGCAAACCTGCGAAGAAACGAAATCGGGAAGCGAAAGCCCTTCGCCGAGAGCCCAAGGGAGGATGACCCCTTGCGGCGACCGCGCCTACCATCCGGAATGCAGACGATCGTGGGGACGCAGACGTCGGGATCGCCGCATTCGGGGAAGGCCAGCACGGCAACCTGCCCATCTTGGCACACTGCGTTTTCGGAGCTGGACTCTGCAAAAACTATTAGAGAAGCCGCTATATTCGACGGTGATGTGACCACGCTCGTAATAAGTTGGACACCTGATGAAGTTGGAATGCATTAACTAGACTTTCATAACGACAGCAAATACAGTGAATCCTACAATTGGCACAATTTGTCGAGTGACCGACCGCTCATCATCCACCCCAAAATATTGCTTCAGTTTTGGTATATACGATGGGAGTAATGAATTACTTGCGTTGAGTATTTGAGAACCTACCAGGTGGCACGCAAAAATTGCGGCCGCATTCTTCGCAGCAGATGAGCCCCTGCAAGCAGTCCGCGTCGCTGGAGCACTGACGTCCTTCGAACTCCGGACATTTCCCGCCGTCTGGAAAACACGAAAAAGTTCCACTCGAACGACCGAGTGACCCAGAGCTCAACAAGATATCATACGAGCGCCTTCCAAGTTTTGGTCCCGCCGATGTTCATTCGATTTTCAATGGGAAGGAGAGGGCCGATTTATTCAGGCATCCGACCCCAATCAAAAAAGTTTGTTGGGAAAAAAATATTGGAATGACGAAACCAAATACATTTATGCCTAAACACCTCTTTCCAATTTGTATTTAAAAAATCTACGGTGATGAAATTTTGAGAAACTTGTGGGCCTCACATTCCCGTGAAACATGCCAGAGACGATTGTCATCTCCAAAATAAAAATTCACCTGGAACATAGTCTTCATTAGTCATAGATTTATACATAGGAAGTACATAATATACTAGTATATATTTGGATTTTGGGACTCTATACATTAATTATGTAAACAGTAAAAAAAAGAGTGAAATAGTGTTCATTTCTGAGATAGAATAGCGTCCATCTCTTTTGAATACAACAATAAGCACCCAATGAAATAAAATTGAGCAAAATTCGGCAAATAGAAATGTCCCTACGGAGACTTTCCGAGGCGGAATCAGAGCATTCTCGCAACTTGATTTCTTCTGGAGATATCAAGGGATTTCTCACGTGAGACGTGTTCAAATAATGCGGCTAAATTTCAGGGAAATGTGTCAATAGTGGAAATATTTACCTTGACATTTTCTTAGCGAGGTATATATACACAAAAATATTAATATTCATTTCATGTCTTTAACAGGTTGTTCGTACACTTGACAGCAAATCAAAGTGTTACTTTAAAATGTGACAACATAGCTAGAATATAACCGCTTTCTATTGAGACGAACGATAGGAACATGCATTGGGCATTGTAGACCGTACCGGGAAATATGCAGACAGCGCTCCCGCAGACTTCGCAACAGAGTAGACCTTGGTCGCAATCGGAGTCGTTGGCGCACTTTCCCAGGTCTTCCATCTCAAATTGTGGTCCATTGATCACGGGGCATATGCCTGCAGTTGGGGGGAGGGGGGGGGGGGAGAAAAGCATGGCTTAGCGGATGGAGTCAAGTGGGTGGGTGTGCAAAGTTGGTTGTCTTTCTAAATCGCTGTCGGGAGCGAGACATAAGCAGCTGGGGTCAATCGAGTATAGGATAGGTTGGTCGGTGTAGTAAACGAATTACTTGAAAGACTTGCCCGATATAGGAACAAGGAAATTGAACATTTATAAAGTGATAGATTCATGAGTCAAAAGCGGAATATTGGATTTGGTAAGTGTAGACTTTTGAGATTCATTCAAATTTCTGAATGTGTCGGGAACCACTTTGTTCCCCAAAAGCCAAACCTCTTTCTGAAGTTTCGGGAATATTAACTGGATGCCGAGTCGATACACATACAGGAACTGGGAGGCATGGAGGTGCGAAACAGGTCATCTCACGCATCACACACGAGGTCCCCTCCCCGCAATCCACGTCCTCACACTTCATCATACCTGTGGAGGAGAGATATAGGAAAGCGAAAAACTCTCGACGGGAGACCAGAGGCCCGTCCCGATGACTTCGCGGCATCTGAGAGCTTACCGCTTGGAAGGCAGGATAATGTGGGGATGCAGTCCTGGATACTTGGATTGTCGCAGTCGGGGACGACCAATATGGGAACCTCGCCATTGGAGCAATTCACGCCATCGTTGTTCGAGTCTAAAAGAATTATTTGAGAAGCCTCAGTATTTGATGATGATTTTAATAGTTTTCTCCTAAGTTGGAAATCGCATAAGGCTGGTATCCATAGCCGATAAAGGTACAACGATAACAATCCTAATAAAACCTTCAATAGCCATAGCTTGTCTAGAGTCACTGACTGCTCATCATCTGCTACAATTGAGGTGGATTATAAGTTAGCGCCGAATACCTTCGAGCCTACCGAGAGGCACGCATATCTTGCGGTCACATTCTTGGCAGCAGATGAGGCCATTTTCGCAGTTCGAATCGTCGGAACACTCCACGATCGGATTGCATTGAAGTCCTCCTAATTCCGGGCATTTCTCGCCATCTGGAAAACATGATATTTTCTGCAGGAACGAACGATTGCCCCCGTGCAAAAAGGTATCAACACTGCAATGAGCAGTGTTGATACCTTTTTGCATCTGGTCACATTAGAAAAATACCAAAAGTTTGGCAAAAGAAACTATGGAAATGACAGAATGACCATGTAACACAATTTGGCTTACACAACTCAGTCTAAGTTTCAATTTAGTTAAAAGTTGTGGCCTCAAAAGTAAACAACAATTTTGACAAATGTGGTAGGAAGTATGTTTTAGATATCCTTGAATTATGGTGTGGAAGGTTTTATTTCAGATGCAAAAATATTAGGCCAAATACAATTTTCATTCACACGCATACACTGCTGTATATCGGGATATATAGGGTGGGTAAGAAAAAAAAAAGATCTACCGTTTTCTATGGGAGAAAAAACAGTTTAATAAGTTCAGCTAAAAAAAAAATTAAATTGGACACTTGATCCATATTTGACATTTACAAGGTGTTGAAATGCTTGTTAGCTTTTTTCAGCACCCCTGCCTAAATTGTGCAATATCTATTTAGAGGTGAATTACAGGTGCTTAGAGGTGGAGCATTCCACCTCAAAGGAGGTGTTGACCTCTGCCAGACCGTTTCAGAATTCAATTAACGTTTCATTTCCAGTTTTACAAGGGACAGTTGGATCCAGCTGATAAATGAGAAATTCACGAGTCTAATAGGTTCTTTTTCACATTCTGAAGATGGTGCTTTATCCCGATAGATGGCACTGGTGTTGACCATGTGACCGAGGGTCATTAAAAAAAACGCTCCATCGTCTCGAAGGGGAGAAATCATGTTTAGTGCATTTGAGGAGACAATATAATATTGATAAACTTTTGATATTGGACATATAGGAGGTGTTGAGGAGCTTGTCTGAGTTTTTCTCGGAAAAATTCTTTGAAATGGGCATAGGGCAAATGAGCACATTCTTTCTCCCCTTCGAGATGGCGAAGCGTTTTTCTAATGACCCTCGGTCACACGCTCAACAACACCTTCTATCGGGATACAGCTGACAATGTGAAAAAAAACCTCTTAGATTGGTGAACCTTTCATTTATCAACTGGATCCAACTACCCCTTGAAAAAATGGAGATGAAGAGTTCATTGAATTCTGAGACGATCCAGCACAGGTCATTACCTCATTTGAGGTGGAATGCACCACCTCTAAGCACCTTCTATTCACCTCTAACTGGGCATTGCCCAATTTAGGTAGGGTGTGCCGAAAAAAGCTGACATTCATTTCATCACCTTGAATCTCTAAAATATCGATACCGTATCCAATTTAGTTTTTTTTTCTTGCTGAATTCATGAAACTGTGTTTCTCCCATAGAAAACGGTATATCGTTCTTTTTTTTAACCACCCTACATACCTTGTAATCTCTTAAATATGCCCTAACGACTTAAGCCCTATGACAAACGACTCAAGGTCTCTGAGTCAAACGACTCAAGGTCTCTGAGTCAAACGACTCAAGGTCTCTGAGTCAAACGACTCAAGGTCTCTGAGTCAAACGACTCAAGGTCTCTGAGTCAAACGACTCAAGGTCTCTGACTTCATGCCACCATCATATGAAAAGTATTGTTTTACCTTAGCACTTCCGCCTGTCATTGTAACCCTTTTGGTACTGCGTTCAATCATAGCGCTCTCCCTCCCGGCCGAAGTTTTTATTGCATTTGCGCACTGTATAGGTAAATGTAGAAATTCCCCCGTATATGTTGCAACTATTTGCATAATGAACTCCTCCAAATTTCACTGATCTCAGTATCATTTTCCATCTCAGATTCATTTTATTGTTGATTTATTTAACTTCTTTCTTAGAAACCAGGAAACGATTATATTATTCGCGTAGCCATACTGTCGATTAACAGGAGCTTCTCAATATTTTATTTGGCTCATTAATTGAGTTTTGGTCCATAACGATATCTGGCAACAAAGCCAGGCACATGCCTTAAGCATGAGGAACCGTACCGGAAAACATGCAGAAACGACTCCCGCAGTCATCGCAGCAGAGAAGACCTTGATTGCAATCGGAGTCGTTGGCGCACTTCTTCAGAACTCCCATCTTACATTCGGATGCATCGATCATAGGGCATGTCCCGGCGACTGGAGGTGGAAGAAACGCACGGTTTAGCAGATGGAATCAGAAGCAGGTGAGTGCGCCCGGCTGGCTGTCTTATAATCGCTGTCGTCGGCGGAACTGACGCGGCTGGCGTTCATCGAGAGTGGGATCGGCATGTCGGCGTAAGAAACTTTTTTGGTCGGGTGCATTCACCTTGTAGGTGAGGGGTATTGATATTAGATATTTCGAACTCGCTATTGTCGCGCCTTCGACGCTCCATTCCAAGGATAGTGATACATTCAATAATTTATTTTCAAAGTGGCAAAAACTTATTTTTAATACTTTTTGAAAATAAAAGTATGTGCCCGTTGGAATGATTATCCAGAGAACAAACCCCTATTTTAATCGAAAAATTACTCCCATTGTTTTTTGCATGCCAAACTTCAAATCTCTTCATAATCTGCCCTGATGGGTCATATTTGAAATGCAGCACATGTATTCAGCAATCGAAAACGTACTTCTACTCAATTTTTCAACTTTCATCAGTTCTCTCTTTGACGAGAAAAGTTTCTGGAAAATGCTCCTTTTGGGAAAATGTGCCCTCGTGAGAGTTGCCAAAAATCAAAATGTTTACTAAAATCAGTTCTCGGAGAACTAGGTTCATGCCAAATTTCAGCCTTATCCGTTGTCTCTTGTTGCTGGTTCAAAAATATCTTCGGAAAAACCGACAGCCGAAAACTGTGACCTGGGGTTATGCACCAATAAACTTGAATTTTTTCTGAACTCTCCACTTCAGTTACTGCTGTGCCAACTTTTACATTTATATCACTGTACAATTCATGTGGAGAAAAAAAAGAAGTATTTGAAAACGTCACCCCCCAAATATATGCCCCAGAACGTGTATCCAAAACTTGACATTTTTCTTGAATTCAGAGTCTCAGTTTCTCCATATCACGTTTCAGCTTTCCATGCTCATCCATTTGACTGAAGCAAAAAAAATATTTGAAAATACCTCCCCATGAAATTTGTCCCTAGGGCATGTACCCCCAAAGTCATAGTTCCTCCTGAGTGAACACCCTATCAGTTACCCACACTTCCATCAATGATGGAGGAAAGAACGTATGCATGAGAATGGTATGGCGTAGGCTGAAACCTCCGTCAGGGGGACTGGGCCTAGGCTTGCAAAATCAGTCCCTCCCCCCCTCCCCCGAAATGTCCTCCAGGGCATGTACCTCGAAAGTCAGATTTTTCTGAACATTATATCCTAATAGTTACCTGTGTACCAAGTTTCATATTTTTAACTTCTCTGGAACATGGTTAGAATTAGCGTCAGTCAGTCGGTCACGGTCGTCTATATATATTAGATGCGTTACAAGCACGGACCGAAAGAACATGTAGGATTTGAGGAGAATAAACGTTTTGAGATTTCTTGTCAGGTGTGAAAGAGAGGAGAGTATGAGGGTAGAGGAATAGATAAAATATCTCTGAAACCCATGAAATGGAACCTTTTTCTGGAGTCTGGGGAAGGAGATGAAGGGGCTGCTGCGTCGGGACACAAACGGGAACAGGGTAGCATGGACGTGCGAAGCAGGCCATCTCACGCATGACACACGTGGTCCCTTCCCCACATTGCACGTCCTCGCACGTCGTCACATCTGTGGACGGACGTCATTACCAACAAAATAACGACATGGGAATGTGAAAGCCCTCGACAAGAGACCAGAGTCTGGGCGGATGACCTGACAGCACCAAGCAGCCTACCACTCGGAATGCAGGAGGATGTGGGGACGCAAGGAACACCAGGACTGTCGCAGTCGGGAACGACCAACACGGCAACTTGGTCAAGGGAGCAATTCACGCTATCGTTGTTCGCATCTGCAGATATTTTAAAGGAAAATACGAGGATTACCTCGAAAATTTTGCAATTGATGCAATAAAAAATTTCCTATGTTTGTAATCCTGAACTCACTCTTAAGTTCTTGAAGGTTGTAAACCAAAATCCGAAAACATGAGTTTGACAAACATGAGTAATTGGAGAGATTTTAATAGTTGGTTAACTGCATGCTTCAAAAGTGATAGCTTAAGCTTAAGTTTTGCGAAGAGATGTTCTCCAGCTCATAATCTTCTCCAGCATCAAACAATGTTCATGTGACGAAGACTACCATGCGGCGCTAGGAGACTGATCATGCTCAAAGCATAGTCATTCCGCGCTGCCATATTTTTCAATTGGGGAGAGTAGGTTTCAATGACAAGTCAGGTTAGAAAGTTCTCAAAGAAATCCTAGGAAATGAAATTTGAAGCAGTGACGTCGCAAATTATAAATGACCCTCATATCACATTTCAGCAGATGGAGCAAGAAGAGGGAATTGCATCAGCAGCACTTATGAAAAAAATTTCATCAAAATGTACAAATCTAGAGGATTTCTGGCCCGACCAATGACCAGAAATCCACTAGATTCCTCCTCACCTGAATAAAGACAGACGAGTAAACGTGCGTTGAACTTTTTTGCTTGATGCTGAAGAATTTCGATGAAGTGAGGTTAAAGCACCTAAATGACATCATCGTATGTAAATAACTCAAGTTTTACCATCAAGACCCTCTCACTAAAAGGGAAAGCATGATGTAGGTGTTTCAAGATGAGAAACCACCTTTGTAATTCACTAGACCTTGAGGTGTCTGAAAGAACATACGTGGTTTCCTTATCTCATTAAAGAACATTTTGAAGTTTGTTAGTCACGATGAGTGCCATACAGTTACATCAGGCTGATATGCGGATGTTTGCATGTCTAAGGGGTTTGAAGTTAAGAGATAATAAAGACGAAATTTATATTTTCAGGAAACCCTCCTTCACCATAACAAAAATCCTATTAATTGAACCATCGGAGTGAAAGGTTTTTGGAGAAATTTGAGGTTCACGTGCCTTCTTTTTCCATGTATTCTCCGGATTCAGTCCCATGTGAATTTCGTTTCCCGAAAAAATAAAATATCGACAAGAAGGAGGAAGACGTCCAGAGAGGAGTCATAAGGTATAGTGAACCAATTGTTAAAGACATTCACCAAAAAAGACTTAAAAACTTGCTTTGAAGGCTGGTTCAGCAGACCCGCATCTAGGTATATCTGCTAATGGAAGGAACCTCATGAAATGTTACGTTTGGACGGACGTTTGGAATAAATCTTACAAAAAATATGTATTAAATACTAGGGTTGTTTCAGAAGTTTTACAACTTTAATACTTCCAGAAACAATTTAACTCAGGGCGAAAGGCAAAAATGTTGAATCTGTTAAGTGCAGACTTTTAGAGATCTATTGAGAGTTCTCAATAAGTAGAGAATTGGTTATCCCTTTTCGTCACAAAAAAATCGAACCTCCTTCTGGATTTTCGGAAAGAAGATTGAAGGGCTTCGGAGTCGGGACACATTCGGGAGCAGGGTAGCACGGAAATGCGTCACAGGTCACCTCACGCATCAAACACGCGCTGGACTCCTCACACTCCACGTTCAGGCACGTAGGCAAAGCTGCGGAGAAACGAAATCCGAAAAAGAAAGCCTTTCGCCGAGAGCCCAAGGGAGGATGACCTCTGCGGCGACCGAGCCTACCATCCGGAATGCAGACGATCGTGGGGACGCAGACGTCGGGATCGCCGCATTCGGGGAAGGCCAACACGGCAACCTGCCCATCTTGGCACACTGCGTTTTCCGAGCTGGACTCTGCAAAAACTATTTGAGAAGCTGCTATATTCGACGGTGATGTGACCACGCTCGTAATAAGTTGGACACCTGATGAAGTTGGAATGCAACTAGTTGAAAAAACTAGACTTTCATAACGACAGCAAATACAGTGAATCCTACAATTGACACAATTTGCCGAGAGTGACCCACCGCACATCATCTACCCCAAAATATTGCTTTAGTATTCGTATATACTCGTACGATGGGAATAACGAATTAGTTGCGTCGAGTATTTGAGTACCTACCAGGTGGCACGCAAAACTTGCGGCCGCATTCTTCGCAGCAGATGAGCCCCTGCAGGCAGTCCGCGTCGCTGGAGCACTGACGTCCTTCCAACTCCGGGCATTTCCCGCCCTCTGGAAAACACGAAAAAGTTCCACTCGAACGACTGAGTGACCCAGAGCTCAACAAGAAACCATACGAGCGCCTTCCAAGTTCTAGTCCCGCCGGCGTTCATTCGATTTTCAATGCGAAGAAGGCCGATTTATTCTGGCATCCGACAGCAATCGAAAAAGTTAGTTGGGAAAACTGTTGGAATGACAAACCAAATACATTCATGCTTAAAAAACCTCTTTCCAATTTGTAAACAAATAAAAATATCTTCATCTACGGAGGTGAAATTTTGAGAAACGTGTGGGCCTCACACATTTCCTTGAAAAATGCCAGAGACTAATGGAGACAATAAAAATGCACATATATAGTATTCATTAGCAGCAATAGATTTACACATAGGAATTACAGAAGATATATATATTTGGATTTTGTGAATATTCATTCTTTAAATATGTTAACTGTAAAAGAAGTGAAATAGTGGTTTTATCTCAGATATAATAGTGTCCGTCACTTTGGTTCTAACAATACTCGTCCGGTAAGATAAAATTGCGGAAAATACGGCAAATAGATTTAGCGTGCCATTTTCGTAGCGAGATAAATATGCACAAAAACATTAAATATTCATTTTATGTCTTTAACAGCCCAAGCAGCATGTTTACGTAAAAAAGATATCAATTCTTTGCAAACAATGTAAATTTCTTGCGATTGCCATGAAAATGACATAACGTTTACGTAAAATTTACGTTCCAATATTTACGTCACCAGAGTGACGGACACTATTATATCTGAGATAAAACCACTATTTCACTTCTTTTACAGTTAACATATTTAAAGAATGAATATTCACAATCACCGTTTACGTATTCCAGGTGACATTTCTGCAAACATGTTGACATTTTCTTGACAATGGTTTGCGTAAACATGATATAAAATGGACAAAAATTCACATTCAGTTTACGTAAAATTAACATAAACATGCTGTTTGGGATGCCATGGGTATAAGAGACCGTACCGGGAAACATGCAGACGGCGTTCCCGCAGACATCGCAACAGAGTAGACCTTGGTCGCAATCGGAGTCGTTAGCGCACTTTCCCAGGGTTTCCATCCCAAATTGGGATCCGTCGATCACGGGGCAAGTGCCTGCAGTTGGAAGGGAGGGGGGAAGAAACGCTTGGCTTAGCGGATGGAGTAAGAAGCGGGTGGGGGGGCAAAGTTGGCTGTCTTTTTGAATAGCTGTGAGGAGCGAGACATCAGCAGTTGGGGTCAATCGAGAATTGGATAGGTTTGTCGGTGTAGGAAAGGATTGCTCGAAAGACTTGACCGATACAGGAGCAAGGAAATTAAATATTTATGTAGTGGTACATTCATGAGTTGAAAGCAAAACGTTGGATATGAGAAGTGTAGACTTTTGAGATTCATTGACATTTCTCAACGGGTCGGAGAATAAGTAACCACTTTTTTGCCCGAAAAGTCTAACCTCTTTCTGAAGCTTCGGCAAGATTAACTGGCTGCCGAGTCGGGACACATACAGGAACTGGGAGGCATGGAGGTGCGAAACAGGTCATCTTACGCATCACACAAGAGGTCCCCTCCCCGCAGTCCACGTCCTCACACTTCGTCATACCTGTGGAGGAACGACATAGGAAAGCGGAAACCCTCGACGGGGGGACTAGAAGCCCGTCCGGGCGGATGACTTGGCGGCGTCTGAGAGCCTACCGCTTGGAAGGCAGGAGAATGTGGGGATGCAGGGGTCGCTGGGATCGTCGCAGTCGGGGACGACTAATACGGCAACCTGGTCGTCGTGGCATTTCACGCCATCGGTGTTCGACTCTGCAAACATTTTACATGATAAGCCCCAACATCTGATGGTGACTTGAATAGTTTCCATACAATTTGAAAATTACACGAGGATGTTATGCATAACCGATCAAGTTTCAACGATAACAATCCTAATGAATCCATCACTAGCCATAGCTTGTCTAGAGTCACCGACTGCTCACCATCTACAACAAATGGAGGTGGATTATTAGTTAGCGCGAATACCTTCTAGCCTACCGAGAGGCACGCATATCTTGCGGTCACATTCTTGGCAGCAGATGAGGCCATGCTCGCAGTCCGAATCGTTCGAACACTCCACGATCGGATTGCATTGAAGTCCTCCCAATTCCGGGCATATCTCGCCATCTGGAAAACATATTTTCCACAAGAACGAACGATTGCCCCCCGAGCTCCATGCAAGTGTTTTGTAGGCATTTCCCTTGGCGGCTTCCAAAGTCTAGTTCCATAGGTATTCTTTCGATACAAATAGAAATCCTGATCGCTTTTGAATCTGTTCACATTAGAGAAATATCAAAAGTTTGGAAATGGAAATGGCAAAATTGCCAAGTAACACAAAAAGCCTTTAAAATTTGTTCCCACAGCTACAAGTAAACAATTACTTTTTCACTTAGCCATACTGCTGACGAACAGGTGTTTCTCAATATGTACTTTTCTTGATTCATTTTGTTTTGATGTATGAAAATATACGGCAATAAAGACAAGTAAGCATTAACCCCGTGAACATTCCAAAGTGGATACATGATTAACGAATTCAAAACTTCTTAAGAGCAGTATGTTAAATACTAGAAACAAAACTATATATGCACGTTCGTAGTACCGAAAAGGTTTTGGGACGTAGAATGGAAGTTTCTTTTGGGAATTGCAAAGGACAATATCATTCCTCCACTTCTATGTTGGTTCAAGTTTAAAGGACCCGGACACAATTCAAGAAAATGTGGACTCATGTGAAAGTATGCAAAACGTGGCTCACAGAAAGTCCTTTGCAGGAGCTTTAAAAAAGGAGGTAATGCATATTGGCTTAGCTTTAGAAGTTCTTAATATTTCGAGATTTATTCATCTCAAGAGATATCTTCAAATAACGCGGCTAGATATAATAAAAATTTGGAAATGAAAATGAAATGAAAAATATGAATTTATCTTGATTTTCTTTACATAGTCGGATAAATGTCAATTTCAAAAATCACTGAGAGCTACAACGTGTCCTGCACAGGCCTTTCGCAAATTTGACCTAAAAGGACTCAAAAAAAGTCATTAAAAAATTTAGTGGCTTCATGACTGGGCATAGAAGCACCTCTAATAGTATGAACATGGTACATGCCCTAGAAATAGGGATAGTACCGGAAAACATGCAGAAACGACTCCCGCAGTCATCGCAGCAGAGAAGACCCTGGTTACAGTCGGAGTCGTTGGCGCACTTCTTCAGAACTCCCATCTTACATTCGGATGCATCGATCATAGGGCATGTCCCGGCGGCTGGAGGAGGGAGAAACGCACGGTTTAGCAGTTGGAGACAGAAGCGGGTGGGTGCGCCCGGCTGGCTGTCATTTAATCGCTGTCGTCGGCGATTGTCGTCGGCTGGCGTTCATCGAGGGGGATCGGCATGGCGGTGTAAGAAAGGATTGGTCGAGTGAATTGACCGTTGCAGGCGTAAGGGTATTGATATTAAATATTTCCATTGCGTTACATGCATGGGCCGAAAGAAAAATTGTTGGATTTGAGAACAGACTTTTGTGATTTGTTGACAGACGTGAATTGTAGCAGGAGGGTATGATTGTAGCGGAATATATCAAATCTCTCTGACACCCAAAACATCTAACCTTTTTCTGGAGTCTGGGGAAGAAGATGGAGGGGCTGCTGCGTCGGGACACAAAAGGGAACAGGGTAGCATGGAGGTGCGAAGCAGGCCATCTTACGCATCACACACGTGCTCCCCTCCCCACATTGCACGTCCTCGCACCTCGTCACATCTGAGGACGAACGATATTACCAGCAGAGTAACGATATCGGAAAGCGAAAGCCCTCGACGAGAGACCAGAGTCCGGGCGGATGACCTAGCGGCAGCAGACAGCCTACCACTCGGAATGCAGGAGGATGTGGGGACGCAAGGAACATCGGGATCGTTGCAGTCGGGAACGACCAACACTTGATCTTGGCCAAGGGGGCAATCCACGCTATCGTTGTCCGACTCTGCAAAAATTTTGCCAAATATGGAAAATTAGAGAGAAATTTCATGAAATTGGTTTGCTGCTTGCTGGAAAAGTTATGGCTTAAGCTCCAGTCTTGGGACGAGAAGACCTTCAGCTCATGATCCTCTCCAACCTCAAACGAGGTTCATATGTCAAGGACTGCCATGATGAGACGGAAGCGGAGCTGGGAGTTTATGATCATGCTTATAGCATAGTCTTTTAGTGCTACCATATTTTTCAATTGGAGAGGGTGGGTTTTGAAGAAAATCCCAAATCATGTCAGAAAGGTCTTAACCCTTTCAGACCTGAATTAAGGCAGCTATCAGAATAATATCTTTTTTTTGCATTTTTGAGCTCTTTTGTGATTGTAACTGAAATTTTCATGCTTTACATGTAGTTTTCATATTATGTATAAATTTACCATATAATACCATATATTATTTATTTAATTAAGTGACTGAATATTACAAAACTAATGGGTGAAAGAAGGCATCTGATGGAACTGAGCCATGCATAATTGCGTCCAAGTAAAGTCACGAGAATCCTAAGAAATTGCCATAGACAAAATGTAAATGCAATGTCCAATGTGGAATGGACGCCAGGTCTGGAAGGGTTAAAGAAATCTCAGGAAGAGAAAGTTGCAGCAGTGACGTCACAAATGAAAGATGACCCTCATATCAGCATAAGGACCAAGAAGTGGGAATTGCATCAGCAGCACTGGTGAAAAAAAAATTTAAACTCAAATGTTCAGATCTAGAGGATTTATTGTCATTGCATTCATCCTCACCTGAATGAAGACAGAGGAGTAAACCACATTGAATTTTGTTGCTTAATGTTGAAGAATTTAGATGAAGGGAGGTCAAAGCACCTAAATGACATCATCACATGTAAAGAACTGGTTTTACCATCAAGATCCTCTCACTAAAAGGCAAAGCTTGATGTGGGTGTTTCAAGATGAGTAACCACCTGTGT